CAATTTAATTTTGCATTCAGCTGCAATCAGTGTATGACCTATATCAAAACTTACAGCTGTAATCAACTTAATCATATCTAGAACAGCCAGAGAAATATATTATATACCCAGTAAATGCGACGCGACGCCTATGTTTAGAGCCTCATAAAAGAAAGTGCCATTTACTTTCAGATTTTCACTGATTATTCCCACTTCTTCATGCAACTTGCAAATTGCTTTGTGAATATTCCGCTGTGAAGAAAAATTTACGAAAGTGCCACTTAGACTGTGTTATAAATTCATTTTGCATCAGTTTTTCTGCGCGCCTCGACGGGACGTCCGGCGTCGGAGTATTTTTATACAACAATAAAACTTTAAGTGTAGCTCCAGATATTTAAATATAGACGTTTTGATTAAGGTCCAAGACGTAGCAACATTTTTTACCGGCCAAGGATGACGTTGCTGATCATAAATCTGTTCAATTTCCATTTAGATAGTTTCGGTCCGCCGTTTTCATTCACTGTTATTTTTACGGCCACAACGGAGTTTACTACGCATTAAGCTGTGAAAAATGCATCCAAAAACACTCTTGATTGAGTACTACGGGATTAAAACACATCGAATTGCCGCTTTCAAAATATTAGACACCGCTAAATTTACCGTGGGCTCTCAAAATAGCTACGACGCTATTTCGAATGAAACGAGAGCCGCCAACTGTCTATTCTTAGAGTTTTCACCTAATAATTTATCGGAAGCACAATACCTTTCGATACATACAGGTAGGTCACTAGGTGAAAGCTCAAAAGTCGTGCCTATTAATCATGTAAACCCTTCACAAGTTAATCTGGAAATCCAATTAATAAATTCTAGCATTTCTCGACTACTAAACTAGAATGTCTGAGCGGCTCGTATTTTTGGCACAATAACAATAGTTTGAGAGTGCAGACAGCAGTTTTCGTAAATAATTCAAAGGCGTTAATAATTCTAATGAAAATTGGCAGTTGCGACACCAGGCTAACTATCCCAAGCCAATAGAAAATTCACGTGATATTGGATGGATTCTCCGCGAAAATAACAAAATTAAATTAATTAAATAAAATATTAAACTAATTCCAAATGATATTAAAAATTGACTCTAGAATTGGGAAAGAAATAATGGGAAACGTTTACTCTAGAATGTTACAATTGAGTTGAAAACACCAATAATCTTAATATGGCTTCTAAAGGGAAACTGGAAAAATTAAGTAAATAAAACTGAAGCTCCAATGTCTACCTCAAAACAAATAGTTGAATAAAATGAAATTGTAAACTCCATAAACAACGTGGAATAAGACATACAAGAGCCACTGAATAATTTGTTCAATAAATAATTAGCCAAGGAATTCCATTTATATCAAAGAACTATAAAATTATAGTAATTGAAATGCTCTGTACAGATCTTGGAAATTTGAAATCTCCTAATCACCAGCATTGAAAGAAGCCACAACAATCAATATAAAACAGTACACATTTAAGTCTATAAATGAAGACCCTCATCATCTTTATTTAGATTCATGGATGGCGAAACGGTTTAAAACAGCAATAATCTAAATATTCTCAACGCGGAGAACTAGAAAAAATAACATAAGTGAACTAACTGATAATCCAATTGCTCACTTATTGATCATTGAAAGGTCTTAAAGAAATTAAAATATGGCAATAAATCAGTCTCATCGAGAATAAAATGTTAACCGAGTCTGTCAGCCGCTAGTTTGCAAAAAACTGATTTGTGGTCAATGAATCTAAAAAGAGTCGGCAATCTCTCAGACAATCTTCACATTCGCATAGAAATAATGCAATGAATAAATTCACAAATAATAAAGTCAATAAATATATTCGTTTCCAACAAATAAAGATAAACAATCTAATAGTATCTCAATATAAATGTTACATCCCAAGGATCTACCAGAATAACTTATAAACAACCCTAAATGCATGTGTATAATTCATCTGACACTAACTTGCATTTAGACTAGAACATGATGCAATGCTTTAAAACGCTAAAAACAATATTTTGAGCAAACCGAAATGCATAAGTGCACAGTGAAAAACATTTCTTTACGAAAAACAAAACGATTTTTGCGGGAAATCTGTGAGTAGGAAATGGTAAACAACCGGTAGATTTTAAATTGTAAAACTGTAGATGGATGAAAATATCCTCCAAATTTTGTTTGTCTGTCCTAAATTACTGACGATCATCTTGATGAAAATATAGGTATGCCTATTGTCGAAAAATGTATTAAGTTTTTTGCCTATTTGTAAGTGGTTTATATGAATAATCGGTAGATCACATAAGTATTTTTATGATCCTAGAGTGTCAGTCATCACTGCTAAATCACATTAATTTTTGTACATATTAACTTTTTCTCCCTTACAAAAGCTTCTTAATAACAAAAAAAAAACAATGCAGAAAATTAAAGAAAACCAACAATTATTAATAAAGCTGGGGGTCTGTAGCCAGCAAAAATATGAACGAAAAAAGCTACAAACCTGCAGTGATGATACAGGCAAAAAATGTAGGCAGGGTGTAGACTCTAAATGGAATAAAATCGCTTTCGAAGAAGTCGACAATTTGTCTAAATATGTCCGAAACATGTGCATTTTGCAAGTACTATGGAAAACACTAAGTCAAAACGTAAGTTTATAGTTTAACTTATTTTCAACGCAAAATTCATTCATTCATCGAAATGTGCGTGCAAAATCAAAAGAATTCAAACAGAAAGAAGGGCACAGAGGAATTTGAAAACAGCTTAATACCGAAATAAAACCCATAGTAAAATCCACTTCAACATAACAATCACAATTAGTGCCGATAGTACAGATATAAAAGAGAAAACAATTCCTATTAAAGAAACTAACAAAAACATAGACTTAAAGAACATAGCAACGCAATTAGCAAGTTAGTAACTTTTTAGAGCTGCCGTGGACAAAGGACGGCTTTGTTGTTGGTAACCAACGTTCTGAAAGGACACCGTACATAAGAAGAATAAACTCTCAATTCCGTTAAATAACGAAAAATTGTCAAAACATCCATCAATGCAAGGCGTTTAAACCAAATGTAAAGAACATTCATAATCTCCTACTTAACCATGGAAGTTCAGAAAAGCACAAGTATAACTTAAAAATATTAAATCTAACATCGCTAAACCATGCCAGTATACGTAACTGTAATAACGAAATTTCACCGGATTTGGATGGTGACTTTTAAATTTAAATTAATTTTATGGCTCTCCCAGATTTATTGTTCTAATATTCGTTAGTACGAAGTTGTTTTAGAGATTTTTTATTTAAGATTTCGAATGTAGCCACTCCGCGCATTTTGTAATTATTGCCAGAAAGCTTTAAGTAAATATGCTGATGTTAAAAAGTTTAGCAGTTAAACAAATAACTTTAACGAATGAACGTTAACTGATAAATCGTGGAGTGCTACACTGTCACATTTTTCTTCTAGTTTATTTCTATAGTTTTTTTCGGATATAAACTGGACCCTTTTTATAATATTTCTGCTTTTCGCTGACGCGGGGGTGTTTTAACGGTTTAGGGAAAAGCTCAAGTTTATCCTAGGCTACTCTTCATATTTTTTACTCAAAAACCCGCTTCATTCCTCAAGATAAACGCTAAATCTTTTCAAGTGCTTTAGGCGCACAGTTATTCCCAACTTCAGCAATGAGTTACTGGCATAAGTACAAGAGCATCCAGTATTCCCCTCAAAGTGCACCTGATCCATGGAAAATATTTCTGATTACAGGAAAACAAATACGTGAGATCTGAATTACAATGTAAGCATCGGAGCATTGCCCTAATGGAAACGCCTCTAGAGTGGTGCAAACTTTTTAATTAAGTTGCTTTGAAACGAAGTATGTAAGTAGAAAGCTTTTTCTAAAGGGACGACGTGCATTTAAACGGCAAACTGCTCGCGATGAAAATTTAATTTTCCACGGTTCTGAGCAAAACTTAATCATTAGGTTTATTTGCTCTATTTTCTCCACTTAATAAGTAGGTATTCCTTGGAAGCGGAAAGCGACGATGAACAGTAATTATGCTATACCGAAACGTGTTGTTTGTTTTAGGTGTGTGTTTTTCATGTAAGTGTCTTCGAAAACGCAAATTGGAACTAAATTGTTCATCAGTAAAACAAAGTCAGATTCAAATTAATGGTACCAATAAGAATTTGAACTAAATACTTGAAACCTCTTGTTAAATAAAATATTGAAAACGGAATTATTGTAACTAACTCAGAAACTCAAAACCAATTTAGTTCAAACCAATCCGATGCAATACAAGCAACCTTCTACCTTCTAACTTTTCAGACTGTAGAGCAAAAATCGCGCTGATTCTATGCGATTCGATATGTTAGCATTAATGTATCGATCTAGTACATCCCTGTCATATAAACCTATTAAATAAATTAAGGTTTCTCCGTTCAAGTTCAAAACGTTCGCTATAGGATTCGTGACATTGTCGCATTCAAGCCGAAAACTCTTTTATACTGTTTTGTTTGACCTATTTATATGCCACCATTGTTATCAGCCAATGCAATTCTGTGGACAAAAAAGATCAGTTGCTACTGAAGTTAACCTGTGAAACTCCAAACAAAATGTTTCAGATAAAACAAAATCCAATTAGGGATTGGAAAAAAGATATTTTTTTCATATTTAGTTTATAGCGTGCTTTTACTCAGTTTGAAAATTGCCATAAAGATAATGACACTTTATACACATCATACAGAGCTGTGTCTGTGTAAAGTACAAATTTTAATTGATTGGGAAATTGTTAATATTTAAGTTGTAGTTTGACCCAGGCTGGATGGCATTTGCGATCGAAATTTATTTATAAAAGAGGCGGAGTTTTTATCAATTATATCCAGTTGTGACAAACGAGCTTGCTGGTAGAGGAATATACGAAAAGAACAGGAAAACCATGAATTGCAGCTATAAGAAAAATATGAAATATTGGAGGCGACGCTGACATTCCCACCAAACCTTTCATCTTGATTGATTCCAAATCGAAGACCCATAATTACGATTAGAAGCTAAAACAATTAATAAATGCTTTTATTATTTCAATCTTCACTCACAAGCTTTTATTTTTAAGATATTGGCAAACCAAAGTAAATTGTGAAAAGTACAATAGTTGGTCAAAAATACGAAAATAATAAGGAAGAATGCAGCGCGAAAAAACTGGGAGATTTTTGCCGACAACCACATCAAGCAAAAATGAGCAAAAACCGCATCCAGAGCTTTTAACTCAAAATTCAAAAACCATTATCAAAAGACGCAAGTTTAATTGCATTAAACTGCAAGCCTGTTAAGACTTTTTTGCGTCTGAATCCGTTAATTATAAAAAATGGGAAGTTTAATAGCATTTTGCCCGTTCACATTTTGCATAAGTTCAACTGATCGATTCTTCCGTGTTCCACTTATAGATTTATCAACCACAGAAACGCATTTTATACTTCAGTATTTGCATTACTCTTTTTAAAGATTTTAGTAATAATACTAAAAATGGATTATAGTAGTACGAAACTGCTAATGGCTAATTCATGAGTTTGTAATTTTTTTCATGTTCAATTTTCTTGAAGAGTCTAATCCAAATTGCTAAATACCTTTTCAACAATTATATTCCAACCCCTATTAACATATTTATTTGAAATTAGGGTTCAAATTAATTCAGCCGCCACCAATCTCATTGTAAAGGGTAGATTCATTAATATTTTCCACACAAGAAGGGTTGACGATGAATTATGTGGATGTATTTAGTTTGTTGTTTAAAATGATGTCGCCTCTCACTTGAGTTATCTGTTTGCTCATTTAATTCACTCTTAAGCAAATCAAATGAATAAATTTCCACCGATAAAATCTGGATAAAGTGTAGTTACATAATATGCAAACATCCAATATGACCAGAACAATATCCTACAAAATGGCATTTTCTTTATCCAATCTTGTATATTACCCTTTGTGCTCAGGACAATTCAATATAAGCAGTCTCTGAACCCTGGAAAATGAGCGCCAATAAAACAAAAGACTTTCCCAAATCGACCATCCAGACAAGGGAAAGTTTTCCGTGCGTATGACTTGAAAATGTTGGAAAATTCATGAATATTTCATACAAGTGAAGGGCTGTTTGCATTAATATTTAACATCAACTAGGGTGAATATTTTGGATATGCAGCACCCAATTTTCTATTCGACTACTAATCAAGGCTGGTGTGAATTACATCAGTAATTTTCACTTACGTAAACGCTCCGAACTCGCCTTTGACGCAACTTCGTTACATGTAATTTCCTGGAAGACTTCGATCGAATCTTCAAACTCAATAGTTTAGTGGCCGATGGAATAGCCGAAAAGCTGAATAGGACGGATCGAAGTGGATAATTCCATAAAACATCCATATAGCATTGCTATTCGCTGCCAGAGGTTTTATGATGCCGTTTCCCCTCTATACAATGCTTGAACAAAAACTTTATTTAGGACCCAATAACCAGCTTTAGCGCTTTATATGTCAGTCTGAAATAGACGCAACTAACTTTCCCAGGATGAATAAAAATTTTATTTATATTTAATCTCTAGTTTTGCTTGAAACAACTTCTTGTTTTCGGCTAATTAAATTGTCTGAGAGTATGGTTCAATCAAATTGCAATGATAAAATTTAGCTTGTAAATTTTAAATCAGCTTGAACAGCTGTTTAAAGTGGTTGAAAACGCTTGATAATCCATATTTTTTATTCTAAAGCGATTTGATGTACACTGGATATATTGGTTTACGTTGGCATATCGGGGTTACCTTCATGAACATATCGAAGCCTTGACCTCATTTTCTTGGAGCGTCCATCGAACATTTGCACTTGAGGGTTGAAATCGTTAATTTTAATTAACATAAATGTCAGAATAGAAACTCGCCTCCTTGCTGCAAGCTCCATGATTGCCAGAAAAGCACCGATCGAAACATACTAAATGAAACAGAATTATTTAAGAAATAGTCTTAGAGTCTTAATGAAGCTTATTTCAACCAGCTGAGACATTGTTATGATATAATTAACCAATGCAACAATTGACACCAAATATTCCAATTTGGAACTAATAGAGTTCCTATTGGCAGAGGAGTTTTCCTCATATGCCGAAAACTCTTCACTCTGGATTTACACGAAAAATATATAAATATGTCGATCATTATGTATACCTTGGACACACAATAAAGCTTGGAAAAGAAAGTCAAACGGCGGAAATTTACGGAAGAATTGGATTGTCATGGGCTGCCTTTGGTAGAGAGAAGATTCCACACTCTTTGTGTGTCTCAAAAAAAAGGTGTACGAGTATTGTGTACCTACTATCTATGGCCGTCTATGGTTTAGAAACTGTTACTCTTCCAGAGGCAAACGCAGACAAGATAAGAAGACAAACACAAAGAGCAATTTCAAAGGAGGAGGAAGAATATTAGGAATAAGTCTAAGACAGAGGATCCGACACTTGGAAATATGAAGACATACGAAAATCACTGATATCATCGAGCGAGTGGCAAAACTTAAGTGGCAGTGGGTGGAACACTGGAGACCGAGGGTAAGAAAAATCAGTATCGGAAGACCAGAAATCAATGGTTGGACGACGGGCGATGGTTTATAAAAATCTTACATTAAATGAAATGAGGTTCAAGTTGCAGCTCTAAATGGAAAAAGTATCTTTGGCTTATCGATGCGTAGAAATAAATGTTAAATGCCTTTGGGTTATGACCGCATATCTTGAGCGCCAAGAGAAAGAAAAACGCAAGTTGAAGTTCCAAACTGTCACTTCATGTGGAAGCAAATGGAACTTTCAGCCTTAAATGGAGTCATACTGCTTTAAGAGCAAGAATATTGCCAGTTTGACAAATTGAAGCAATTATCTATTACAGCCCAAAGCAAAAACCATTCAAAAGTCTATAGTAAGAATGCTAAAAGAGTCTATTTTAAGTTTCGCAAAGCGATATAAAACCTGGCTGAGAAAGTTCTTTGGTAAACATTTTATTGCATCTTATAAAAAATCAAGAAGCAAAACGAAATTAAGGAGAGAATGTGACGCAAAGTAGAAATAAAATAAGTCCACAAATGATACAATTTGTAAAGATGACGGTAATTTGCTTTTCAACTCAGTTCTAAATGAAATAAAACTATGAAACCGCTGAAAATTGTGAATTTCGAACATAAACAACTAAAATGATTCCAAAATTAGCAAAGTTCTGGAACTAAAAGTGGTATAAGTTTGTTGCTGCAAATATTGAAGGAAGAACAAGCTCTCGAAATCACTTTATGATGCAAATTTAGAATTATTTCTCAGAAATGGATTGTTTTGAGGAGTTTCACAAAATCGAATTCTTAAAATATTACATTAGATGGCACAAAAATACATGCAGAAGCTAATTTAAATAATTCGGGATATTAATAGTGCGTGATTTTATTTAAATCGTAGCAAAAGAACGAAGTTACACTAGTAATTCGAATAATACAAGAACAGCAGAGTTATATTATCTATTCATACATTGTCTTTACTGAGAAACATACTTCTTACTGGTGCATAAGAACAAAGCAAAAGTATTTAATAAGTCACCTTTATCAGTTAAAAATAATTCGAAATTATACAGTGTTTAAAAAAACAAGAAATTGTTAGTAAACCTACAACCGTACTATTTAAATAATGATTTTCTACAATAAGTTAATATTTTGATGTATTTTAATTTATATTTTAGACATTATTTCATTTCATGTTGCTCAGGTGTAGGTAATATACATATAACTCTATAGTTCCTACATTTGAAATAATGCTTATTTTATTCTACCGCATTTTTTAGTGAAACTGTTAACTCCTTGCGGCTTCAAGAAAAAAAAGTCCAATGGAGTTCGAATTGTTAAAAATTTATATATATTTCCCAACATATGGTTTTCAACATTCTATTTCCCAACATAAAGGTTTCTGTTATTTCTGTTTCACATATTCATAGCAACAACCAGAAAAACTTGAAGAATCACGATCAAATATCGAAAAAATCCATAAAAACAAAACTTCAAGAATCAGAAATAATGAATAGATATAATATCAACAGTTCATGTCTGGTCACACATATCGAAGTGTTCTATTAAAAAATTAAATAAAAAACCTCATCTCAGGAGTGAATAACAATTACGAATTTGCAGTTTCAAACAAAACAAATGTCCTGTTTATATGATGAATAATACTGGACTTGCCAAAAAAACCACCAGTTTGCAGCAGAATTACCAGATTTGTAGTTTCCTTTTTAAAATAGCATAACAGTGAAAGAACATCAACACCATTTTTCATTAATCGCCAACACTTTAAAGAAAATAATTGAATAATAGACTCGGATTCTGCGTAATGTTTATCGACTCGTAATGTTACATTTTTAGACGTGTAATTTATCTTAAAGTAATAATAAATAGAATCGTTGCTTGTGTTGGAGACAACCCGACCGTAAAATCACAGCATGATTGGCAGTATACGCATTCGGTTGGAAAATAATAAATATGGCAAATTATACTGAACATGTGGGGATTCGACAAGTATCATTCGGAAAGTTTCGTTCCTACATATTTTAAGACAACCGTTCACATCTGCAAAAAAGTTTAAAATAGCTTGCTTTACAAATAAAACTTGAATATTATGTATACTCCCACGATATATGTGCAGAATTCAGTTAGGTTCGCTCCAAATATACCTACTATACTAATAATACACCCACTCAAAATGAATTCAAATCCGATCTACTTTGGTCCATGGGTTGTTTTTATTTTGATCCTTTACTGCTGCGACACCGCTTTATGAATTTATAAGAATAATTTTTTGTGTTGATATGTGTGTTAATATTTTTTAAGTTGGAATCGTTCCAACCATTCTTTATATAAAAAACGGGGTAATGACATTGTCCCAACAACCAGCAGCATCAATAAATAATCGGAATAGGTCGTGCAAAAACCAACGAACATTTCTTCGAAATAAAGGCAATAAAAAGGAATAATTTACAAAGGGT